GACCAACACTATCAGAATTACCTGGGAAATTGCTGGAAATGCAAATGCTGAGGCCCTAGTCCAGACCTACTGAATCAGAAACCCCAGGGATGGGGAGTGGGGCCCAGCAATTTGTTTTAAAAAGTCCTCCAATGATTCTGGTATATGCTAAAGTGGCAGGGAGTGGCGGGGAATGGTGGGGGCGTGAACACTGGCTTGATCTACAGATGACTGAGCAAAGTATGTTAAAAATGCATTTATTCCCATTGTGGATTTGTCATTTTCTCCTTGCAATATTTTATTTTATTTATTTATTAGACAGACACAAAAGTCTGTCTTACAGCCAGGCCACAAATGGAGTTGCACCTCATGACAGATAAAGGTAGCCACCCCAGAGCTCTAAAATTTAAATATATTCTATAGTTCCAGCTGCACATAGAGACCAACTGCAGAGTCAATAGCCAAAGCCCTAAGGGAAGATAATCTAACTGGCCCAACTTGGATCACTCTAGCAGTTTCTGTGACTCCAAGAAGAGCAAAGGGGCCATGTCTAATATCACTGGCTTCTTCAGGGACCTGCTCAAAGCATAAACGTGCTGACAAATCCTCACTAACCAAACCCTGCCTTCATTCCAACCATTGTTCCAAGAGCTGTGCCAAGGGCAATGCATGTACTGTCTCAGTAATCACAATCACCCATTGAGGTAATGTACCAATGGGAAAATCAAGACCCATAAATGCTAAATAGCTCATCACACAGCTGGATAAGGGGCAGAATTGAGGTTTTCTGACTCTTATACAAATTTATCTAAGCTAATTTGGCCATGCACAACTATGAAATTCTTTTTGACAGCTACCACCAATAGTTAGTATTAAGTGAAGGATCTAGATTTCTTTCCCTGGACATCACAAGCAGGTATGAAAGCAAGTCTAAGAATAAACTGTAACCCACTTAGAACATTAACTATCAGGTACAAAATAATAATAAGTTAATAAACAAAAAACAAACAATTCTTTAAACTTGTTTATACAGTAAACAAGGTCCCAGGCCTCTATTCTTATAGGGGCTCTGATCATATATTCCATGCAACAATCTAAAAGAGAGGACTCAGTTATCTTTAAATGATATCGTAACCAAAATCCTCTGAATAATCATCTGGCCAGGTTAGGATGCATGCTTCCATTCTATTCCTGGCAGAGATGGGACCATACACAGTCAATCTAGATTACTACTCTTTATATTATATTCCACTTCCTCCACTGGTGATGATGTTTCTGACACAAAAGTGCACTTGGTATCATCTCTGATAATAGATAACACATCATAAACTGTATGCAGACCCATCATAATGGAATCATTCTATTCCGAAAATCATTCTATTTCACGAAAACATGTACATCTGGATGAAGGATAACACGGTTTAAAGAATGCCACATCCAAAACATCACATCACAGAGGGAATAAAGGAAGTTGAACTTGGCCAACTGGAAAATAGTAGGATACCAAAAAGTAGCTGCCAGCCTATACAGACAAAGGCAAATCCTTTCACCAAGTCTACAGGGGATTTTTTTCACTTAAGCCAAATAGATGATTTTACATTCCAAATACAGCAACACAGGCACCACTGTCGATTCACTCAACCCCCTCGAAAAAAATTTTTTTAAAAATTAAATCAGCCGGTTGTTGAAATACTTGAATAACTGGTAGTACAATCACAACCAAAGATCTATCAGATGCTCTAAGCAGAACAATGAAGACATTAAAAGCACAGATTTCTCATGAGGTGTTTTGGGGAATAAAAGTAAACATGAGTGAGAATCATAGATAAAATTTTATCTAAAATTTGGAGTAGGGGGTG